AGCCACCAAGGTGCCCCATAAATTTCCGATTTTTTAAATTGCACTAAAATACAGATAACATTGAGGGTCTTTTTTTTTTTAGATCTTATTTTTAAGTAATCTCTACCTCCAGAATGGGCTTGAATTCACAGCCCTGAGATCAAGAGTGGCACACTCCACTGACTGAGCCGGCCTGGCACCCCAGACCATTTGAACAATTTTTAAGTGTACTACAGTTCAGTAGTGTTAAGTAAATTCACATCGTTGTACAACCATCACCACCATCTGTCTCCAGAACTCCTTTTATTTTGCAGAACTAAAACTCTTAGCGATTAAACAACACTTTCCCCCTTCCCACAGCCCTTGACAACCACAGATCTGCTTTCTCTCTCTATGCATTTGATGACTCTTAAGTACTTCTTTTAAGTGGAATCATACAGTATTTGTCTTTACTGGCTTGTTTCACTTAACATGATGCCCTCAGGGTTCATCCATGTGGTAGCATGAAGCAGAATTCCCTTTCTTTCTTTCTTACATTCTTTTTTTTTTTTTTTTTTAAGATTTTATTTAGTTATTTGACAGAGATCACAAGGAGACAGAGAGGCAGGCAGAAAGAGAGGGGGAAGCAGAGAGCCCGATGCGGGGCCCGATCTCAGGATCCTGAGATCACGAGCCGAAGGCAGAGGCCCCAACCCACTGAGCCATCTGGGGGCTTTTTTTTTTTTTTTTTAATTTTTTTAATTTGACCCAGAGAGAGGGATCACAAGTAGGCAGAGAGGTAGGCAGAGAGAGAGGGGGAAGCAGGCTCCCTGCTGAGCAGAGAGCCCAATGCGGGGCTTGGTCCCAGGACCCTGAGATCTTGACCTGAGCCAAAGGCAGAGGCTTAACCCACTGAGCCACCCAGGTGCCCCTCTTTTTAAGGCTGAATAATATTGTATGCATACACCACATTGATATTTGGGTTAGTTCCATCTCTCGGGTCTTTGTGAATAATAGCACTGTGAACATAGTTGCAAAGTACCTGCTTGTGTCCTTCCTTTTAGTTCTTTTCAAATATTTTATTTGAGGAATTATGTAGTCCTCTCATCATGAAGAACATACAAGAAACTGTTTAGATTTTAAAAACAGATTATGAGAAAGATCAATAAACCAACAGGAAAATGGATAAAGAATGTGAACAGTTCATGGAAAAGGGAATCAAAATGAGATGCTCAGCTTCCTTCATAAAAGAAAATGTAAATAAAATGCGTATTTCACTTGTCAGACTGACAACCAAAATTGTGTTACTATTTTGTGAAGGGCAGTGTGACGACACAGGGGCTCAAAGAGTGCTGCTGGGACTGTGAATTGGTCCAGTCTCTAAAAAGGGACATTTGTTATTGCCTATCAGCATTAAAAATGCACATACCCTTTGACTTAGCAATACCTGTTTTGAGAATTTTCTACAGATTTTTTTTAAAGATTTTATTTATTTATTTGACAGGCAGAGATCACAAGTAGGCAGAGAGGCAGACAGAGAGAGAGAGAGAGGTGGAAGCAGACTCCCTGCTGAGCAGAGAGCCAGATGTGGGACTCGATCCCAGGACCCTGAGATCATGACCTGAGCCGAAGGCAGAGGCTTTAACCCACTGAGCCACCCAAGCACCCCTCTACAGATATTTTTGCACAAGTATAAAAAAATAAATGAGCAGGTTTAGCCTTTGCAGTATTATTTGTAATAGCAAAAACTTGGGAGTAACCGAAGTCCATCAGTTTGAAGACTGGTTAAATGACGCTGTATCTATACAAATACTATGCAGCCAGAAAAAATTTAAAAGCTCCTGACATGGCTGTAGATAAATTTCCAGGTTATATTATTGAATGAAAATGTAAGGAACAAAACCACATATGTAGTATGGTACCATTTGTGTAAAGAAAGAAGAAAAATACTGGTGTGTATAAGCTTAAAATGGGTATGGAAGTATATAGAAGGTACTAATAAAGCTGTTGCCAGCGGGAAGAGATAATGACTAGCAGGAGTGGAAATAACAACAAAAAAAAAAAAAAAAAAGGGAAGCTTTCAGTGTATTCCTTTTATACTTCTTTGAGTGTCATCTTTTTAAAAAGTTAAGTGAGAAAGATATGCCTAGAAAAATACAAGGATTGGGGCGCCTGGGTGGCTCAGTTGTCTGCCTTTGGCTCAGGTCATGATCCCAGGGTCCTGAGATCGAGCCCTGCATCAGGCTCCCCACCCTGCAGGAAGCCTGCTTCTCCCTCTCCCACTCCTCCTGGTCATGTTCCCTCTCTCTCTCTCTCTCAATCTCTGTCAAATAAATAAATAATCTTTTAAAAAAAGAAAAAGAAAAATACAAGGATGAAATGGAAAAAGAGACCGCCTAACCAGTGACTTCCAGACACTTGAACAGACTTCTTAAGAAAAACATCAGTAGGGGCACCTGGGTGGCTCAGTGGGTTAAAGCCTCTGCCTTCGGCTCAGGTCATGGTCTCAGGGTCCTGGGATCGAGCACCGCATCGGGCTCTCTGCTCGGCAGGGAGCCTGCTTCCTCCCTCTCTCTGCCTGCCTCTGCCTAATTGTGATCTCTGTCTGTCAAATAAATAAATAAAATCTTAAAAAAAAAAGAAAAAGATAAACATCAGTAAAGTTGAGCCTCGAAATCAAATTGTGGAAAAAATGTGAAGACAAGAAAAGAAGCTTTTGGGATTGATCTGGACTAAAAAGTAGTACAAGAAAGTGTACTCCTTTGGTGTAGTAGTATATGTCTTGTAACTTTAAATCCTGAATATTTTGAAACATAGGAAACACCCAGATACTCGTTGCTTTTATTTAATGATTGTTAATATTTTGGCAGCTTTGCTTCATCTTTTAAAAATATATTTAATGTAGCAAAAGAGAGGACAGAAAAGTGGCAGATTGATTCAATTTCTTATCTTTTGTTATTTCCATGGAGAATGATTTCCTGTCTTGTCCAAAAAAAAAAAAAAAAGTCTGGTTAGAAAACATGTTGAAGATAAAAAGAGAGGCTAGCATTTGGCCATTTTCAATTAGTCTGCATTCTCCGGGTGCCTGAATGGCTCAGTCAGTTAAGCCTTTGCCTCAGGTCATGATCCTGGTCCTGGAATTGAACTCTGCATCCTCAACAGGCTCCCGGCTCAGCAGGGAGTCTGCTTGTCCCTCTCCCTCTGCTCCCCAACTCACGAGTGTGTGTACATGTGTGCGTGTGTGTATGCACGTGCTCTCTCCCTCTCTCTCTCTCTGATAAATACATCTTTGAATTAGTCTGCATTCCAAGAGAAATTACATCTAGAACTTTATGAAAAACTGGCAAAAATGATTGCAAAAAATTCCTGTTTATAATCTTTAAAGAGTAACAAACAAGGGGAACTAGAATTTCTAGGAAAGATGTTTTGTGAACATTTGGAAAAGTAATAATCCTAAGGAGATAGGAAGAGTTTAGTGAGTCTTGGCTAAATTTACCTTTTTTTGTTTGTGTTTTGGATTGTAATTCCATGGCAAGCCAGGGAAATTTGCAGAGAACAGTGCATTATTTCCTTTCGCTTTTCATCATCTTTCCTTTCCTCCCTCCTCATTATTGTTAATAGAACAAATAACAGCTATTCCTTCCAAATATAGTCATACAACTGAGAGGTGTGTAAGTTAAAGAGTGAAGAGACCCCTTCCCTCACCCCACTCCTCTGACAGTATACTCTGGGACTGACGGTGGGGTTTGATTTCAGGGGCGCTCATGACATTCACAAAGCTCATGACATTCTTGCTTGTGAACTGGGTAATAGGAGAGCTTGTAACTAAAAACATTTTACCCACAGTTTGTATGAGTTCTCTCTTTGGTTAGGTCATATATACGTGGGTCATATAATTTACATACACATATATTTTATCCTTGATCTTATAAAAATTAGGACAGAACTAGGAGAGATAATGTTGGATTATTCTCTGTTTAGAACATATAAATGTAAAGTCCTACATTTACACATAATGTTATGATGTGTTAAGTCCTACTTCAATAATGAGTTGCACAAGGAGCGCCTAGGTCAGCATATAACTCTTGATCTTGGGGGTCGTGAATTCAAGCCCCACATTGGGTATAGAGATTACTTGAAAAATAAATTGTTGTACAAGTATAGCATAGAGAAGACCTGGTTTGAAAGTTCTTCATGGAAATTCATAAGACTTTACAGAAACAAGTAAATAAGTAGATTTTCTCTTAGTCTCAGTGTCCGTATTTAACTTTTCCTTTGGATGGATGGTTTGGGCATGGCTTTCTCAAATCTCAAATATATTTATTTACTTTGAATAACTGTCTCAAGAATTTTTCCCAAGGAAATACTTCAAAGGACAAGAATAATTTAAAAGTGAAGATGTTTTTAGCTGTTTTCTTTGAGATAGTAAACAATGGAAGCATATATCAACAGGGAAATGATTAAATTTTGGTATCTACAGGTCAACATTAAAGAGATTAATATGACTCTGTGGCTATATAGAAAAATGTTCATGCTATTTAGGAAGTAGAACAGATTACATATCTATATCTTTTTTTTTTTTTTTAAGAGACTTTATTTATTTATTTGACAGAGGAACACAGCGAGACAGGGAACAACAAGCAGGGGGAGTGGGAGAGGGAGAAGCAGGCTTCCCCCTGAGCAGGGAGCCCAAGGCGGGGCTGATCCCAGGATGCTGGGATCATGATTTGAGTCAAAGGCAGACGCTTAATGACTGAGCCACCCAGACACCCCCATATCTATTTCTTTCATTCATTCATTCATTTATTTTAGATTTTATTTATTTATTTGAAGAGAGAGAGAGAGAGATCACAAGCGGGCAGAGAGGCAGGCAGAGAGAGGGGAAGAAGCAAGCTTCCCGCTAAGCAGAGAGCCCGATGCGGGGCTCGATCCCAGGACCCCAGAATCATGACCTGAGCTGAAGGCAGAGGCTTAATCCACTGAGCCACCCAGGCGCCCCATCTGTATTAATTCTTGTTAATTTTTTATAATATTCTTCCTAGATCTCATATTTTGGATTCTGGCTACATTATAATGAATGACACTTCGACATCAGATGTCATTGGTCGACGAGTTGAGGTTAATGGAGAACATGCAACAGTGCGTTTTTCTGGTATCGTTCCTCCTGTGGCAGGTATGTTTGTGTGTGCATTTGTTTATTTTAGAGTTCTTTCTTTGCAGGCTTTTCTCTAGTGGTTTGTAACATCGATTTTGAAGAAATTAACAACGAATTTGTAGATGCTTTCTACATACAATTGTTTGGTTTGGGTAACAGTATCCTGTGGTATCTATGATTTTATTTAATTTTAAACTTACCTATTTATTTAGTGTTGCCATTTTATATTCAACCTTAAAATATCTTCTGAGTAAACTTTAAACAACAAGTAATAATTTTGAATTCTCATATCCTAACCTCAAAAACTAAGAATTTTTGGAAATTTCTTTTGTCATTAATTCATGTGTATATGTATTTAGAGTAGTTTAAATTGATAGGCATACAATTTTGTGATATCTTTTTTCACGTATTATCTGGTACATATGTATAGCATCATTTTGTTTACTTTTTTTATTGAGATATAACTGACAGATAACATTGTATTAGTTTTAGGTGTACAAAATAATGATTTGATATTTATATGCATTGCCAAATGATCACCAAGATAGGTCTAGTTAACATCCATTACCATACATAGTTACAGTTCTGTTTTTCTTTTAAACAGTATCATTCTTTTCTTTTTAAAATTAATTCATTATTTTTATTTTTTAAATTTCAGTACAGATAACATACATTGTTATATTGGTTTCAAGTGTACAATATAGTGATTCAGCAATTCTGTACATTACTCAGTGCTTGTCAAGATAAGTGTGTTCTTAATCTCCTTCACCCATTTCACCCATCACCCCCCGCCCACCTTCCTTTTGGTGACCATCAGATTGTTCTCCGTAGTTAAGAGTCTGTTTCTTGGTTTTTTGTTTTTGTTTTGTTCCCCTTTACTAGTTTGTTTTGTTTTTTACATTTCACATACTAGTGAAATAATATGGTATTTGTCTTTCTTTGACTGACTTATTTTGGTTAGCATTATGCTTTCTAGCCCCATCCATGTTGTTGCAGATGGCAAGCTTTCATTCTTTTTTATGGCTGAGTAATATTCCATTGTGTGTGTGTGTGTGCGTGTGTGTGTGTGTGTGTGTGTGTGTATACATACACTATCTATTCTTTATTCATTCATCAATTGATGGACTCTTGGGCTGCTTCCATAATTTGCTATTACAAACAATGCTGAAGTAAACATAGGGGTGCATATATTTTTTCGAATTAGTGTTTTCATATTCTTTGGATCAATACCCAGTAGTGGAATTTTCTGGACCATATGTAATTTTATTTTTAATATTTTAGGAACCCCCCCACACTGTTTTCCACAGTGGCTGCCACCAGTTTGCATTCCCACCAGCAGTGCACGAGTGTTACTTTTTCTTCACATCCTCGCCAGTGCTTATTATATTTTTGATTTTTGCCATTCGGACAGGTGTGAGGTTTTATCTAATTGTGGTTTTGTTTTGCATTTCACCGATGCATGAAAAGATGAACATCTTTTCATGTGTCTCTTAGCCATTGGTATTTCTTCTTTGGAGAAATGTCTATTCCAGTCTTTTGCCCATTTTTTAATCGGATTGGTTTTTTTTTTTTTTATGTTGAGTTGTAGAAGTTCTGTACATATTTTGGATACTAACACGTGATCAAGTATGTCATTTGCGAATATCTTTTCCCATTCCATAGGTTACCTTTTAGTTTTCTTTACTCTGCAGAAGCTTTTTTTTTTTTTTTAAGATTTTATTTATTTATTTGACAGATCACAAGTAGCAGAGAGGTAGGCAGGCAGAGAGAGGGGGAAGCAGGCTCCCTGCTGAGCAGAGAGCCCCATGTGGGGCTCGATCCCAGGACCCTGGGATCATGACCTGAGCCGAAGGCAGAGGCCCAACCCATTGAGCCACCCAGGTGTCCCACTTTTTTTTTTTTTTAATACTTTATTTTTAAGTACTCTCTACACCCATCGTGGGGCTCAAACTCACAACCCTGAGATCAAGAGTTTTGTGTTTGTGGGATGCCTTGGTGGCTCAGTCAACAGTTAAGCGTCTGCCTTCAGCTCAGGTCATGATCCTGGGATCAAGTCCCATATCTGGCTCCTCGCTCAGTGGGAGTCTGCTTCTCCCTCTGCCTACTGCTCTCCCTGCTTGTGCTCGCTCTCTCTCTCTCTCTCTCTCTCTGGCAAATAAATACATAAAATCTTAAAAAAAAAAAAAAGTTACATGCTCATACCGAGGTTCCTCAAAATGTTAAAAATAGAACTACCCTATGACCCAGCAATTGCACTACTAGGTAATTATCCAAAGGATACAAACATAGTGGTTCGAAGGGGGCATGTGCACCCTAATATTTATAGCTGCAGTGTCCACAATAGCCCAACTATGGGAAGAGCCCAGATTTCCATCAATGCAGGAATGGATAAAGAAGATGTGTGTGTGTGTGTGTGTGTGTGTGTGTGTGTGTGTGTGTGTGTAGTACGCACACATGATGGAATATTACTCATCCAAAGGAATGAAAGCTTGCCATTGGCAGTGATGTGGATGGAACTAGAGTGCAGTATGCTAAGCGAAATAAGTCAGAGGAAGAGGAATACCATATGATTTCATTCATGTGGCATTTAAGAAATAAAACAAATGAACATAGGGGAAGGGAGGGAAAAATAAAATAATAGGGAGGCAAACCATAAAAGGCTCAACTATAGGGAACAAACTGAGGGTTGCTGGAGGGGAGGTCGGGAGGATGGAGTAATTGAGTGATGGGCATTAAGGAGCACACTTGATGTAATGGGTGTTCTGTGTAACTGATGAATCACTAAATCCTGCCCCCGGAACAAATAATACACTCTACGTTAACTAACTTGAACTAAAAAAAAAAAAAAAAAGTTGCCTGTTCCACTGACTGAGCCAACCAGGTGCCCTTGTGATACAGTCTGAACATAAGTTCCACCTGACCCTGTGGGAACTCTGAAGGGAGGGTGGCCCTTCAGAGATTTTCCTAGCTGAGATGAGGGGCGGGGCACTTATACCTGTGATGGTCTGTCACTCGGTTTTGGGGAAGCGGGTGTGCCAGGCACTTTCACCAGGGGAGACAGTTCTTGAAAGTGGGTTCATAGTTGAGGGCTAATTTCCAGAGGCTGGTTTGCCCAGCAGCTGGTAGGAATAAGTCTCAATTTCTGAAGGCAGGTTGGAGTGGCCCGTCACAGATCCAGTAATGCAGATGGAGGCTATTTCATGGTAATTTAGTGACTATGAAGTGGTACATATTGTTTTCATTTATTAAATTGCCTGTGAGTTTGACAATTCCTTCATGTATGTATGATCAGGCGAATTTCCCCCCCTCGAATTATAATTCTTCGAAGAAGGAGCTACTATGTATTCACTCTATTAATTATAACATTGTCGGGGGCATTCTGTAGGACTTTACCTCAACTGGTGTGACTTTTGAGTTTCTTCCAGAAGTCAACAGGTGGAATTGGTACAAAGATGCAGTGAAATTGAACACAGATTCAGTAATTACTCCTGGAGCTGCTTCACTCGGTGTAAATTTTAGGGTTGTTGTGATAATTAAATGAAGGTGTTTAAAGCGCTTAGACCAGATCCTGATGCATAGTGTTAGCTATTGTTGTAGATAAAATATACTTAAGAAAGAAATAGGGCAGTTCTAATGTTTTACAAATGGCTTGGGTTGGAAATTGAGATATCCCAAGATAGCATCACATGTAGGCTTTTTAATTTTTATTTTTTTAAAGATTTATTTTAGAGTGTGTGAATGAGTGTGGGGTGGGGAGGGGCAAAGGGAGAGGAAGAGAAAGTCTCAAACAGACTGCTCTGAGCACGGAGCTGGACTTGGGCTTGATTGATCCCGCGACCCTAAGACCATGACCTGAGCTGAAACCAAGAGTCAGTGCTTAACTGACTGAGCCATCCAGGTGCCCCCATATGCAGTTTTTAAAAAAGTGTTTAAATAAAGAGGATATGCTGTGATGGGTGGAAAAGTGCCCCTCCCCTTCCAACAAAGATGTGCCCAGGAGCTGGGAGCATTGTGTTCTGTTACATGGCAAAGGAGAATTAACCTGCAACCTGCAAAGGTTGCAGGTGGAATTAAACTTGCTAATCAGCTGACTTTAAGATAGGGAGATTATCCAGGTGGGTTCAGTGCGATCTGAAGTATCTGTCGAAGTAGAAGTAGAAGAGGACAGTGCAAGAGAGCAGCGATGTGAGAAAGTTTTGACTGGCCACTGTGGGCGTTGAAGATGGAATCGGGTCGTGAAGCCGAAGAATGTGTGCAGCCCCTACCAGCTGGGGAAGGCAAGGCAATGAGTTTTCCTCTCTCGCCTCCAGAAGGGAACACAGCTTTGCAACCCCTTGATTTTATTTTATTTTTTAAAGATTTTATTATTGAGAGAGAGAGAGAGAGAGAACGTGCATGAGAGTGGGGTGAGGGGCAGAGGGGAGAAGCAGACTTCCCTCTGAGTAGGAACCCGATTCGGGGCTTGACCGGAGACTCCAGCCAGGGTCGTGACCTGGGCCGAAGGCAGACACTTAAGTAACTGAGCCACCCAGGCGCCCCTGCAATGCCTTGATTTTAGACCAGTGAGACTGTCCTCAGGCTCTGACCTCCAGAACTGGAGGATAATAAATTTGTGTGGGGGGGATGATAGTCAGACACTAATGTTATAACTGTGTTTGGAGAGTCTGTTTAGAATGGTTTCATGAATGTGGGAGTGAGGAAGCACTTTTTCTAAATTTGTTTCATGTGATTTAAATGATTAACTGATTTAATTAATGAAATACTACCAGTAGACCTTTTATTAATATACATCTGTATGCTTAAAAATTAGATATTTGTTACTCGATATTCTCATATTCATATACTTGGAGTTGCTGTAGATCAATCAATATACACATTGTATTTTTATTTTTTTCTCCAGTGATTATCTTCATGGTTCTTTGCCCTTAGTTATTGTTTTGTAATACATTTTATGGTAACTGAAATCTGGTATTATTGTCAACCTGTATAGAGTGACTAAATTAAATGGCCCTATAGTA